GCAGGGGCAGGTGGGGACAGCAGTGATGTGGAGCTGGAGCCAGCAGGCTGGCCCTGCTTCCTCCACTCCCTGGCTGAGAACAGACCCCCTCTCAGCCTCGGTCTCCCCATCAGGAAAACAGAGGGTCCCCCCAACCTCTGGAGACTTGGTTTCCCTCTCTGGAAAATGAGAAACGATTGTTGGAACGTTTGGTTCATGGTGAAGATGAAATGGATTCTCCTAGCAGGTGGCATCCCCCACGAAGGCGGGGGCACGCCGGCTTCCCCGGGGAGCAGCCCGGCCCAGCACAGGCCCTCATCGAACGGATGGGTGAATGAATCAACCAAAGAGCTGGAGTTGACACCCAAGGTCCAGACCGACTCCTCACTTGCTGGCCTCTTAAAGCCTGTCCCTCCCCTCCCTCCCATCCCGGGCATCAGTTCACCTTTCCCCAACAGTTTGTGCCCCTAAAAATGCCAGGAATGTGGCAGACCCACGACTGCTACCCAAGGATTAGTGCTCGGAACCTCAGCTCAAACTCGGGCCTGAGAGGCATCTGCTTAGCCAGGGATTCTGGGCCCGGGGGACCAGCAGGACCATTCCCAGGTGTCCTGCACTGCTGGGATGGGACGCAGGGTGGGGCTGGGGCAGGAGGCGGCCTGGGACGCATCCGCATGGCCCTCGGCAGGGTGTCCCCAGGACGCCTGGCCATGAAGGTTGTCCATCCACTCAGCAAATGTTCCACAAGGGCCCCCGTGCCAGGCCTGGGTGCAGACGTATCACAGCATGGTGTGATCCCCTAGCAAGGCGGCGCTGACACACACCACGGGACGAGGCTCTGTCCGTCCCTGTGGGGCTCAGGATGAGCTCCAGGTCCCTCACCAACACCCGCTGCTGGCCAAGTCAGGTGGGCTTTTCCTCATGGGGTCAGTGCTCAGAGCCCTGGGTGTTGCTTGCACCCGAGGTCTCGCTGGGGATCCTCTCTGGACCCCTTCCCTGGGCACCCACAGCCCAAGCCCTCCCTGGCCAAGCTGCAGGCTGGTGCCTGGAGAAGGGCTCTTGGACTTGAGCTGGTTTCCTGTGGGGCTCTGGTACCTGCCCGCTGGGCCACCACAGGGAGGCAGTCTCTCTTACTTCCCTGCGCCTCAGTTTCTTCATCTATAAAATGGGATAATAAGCCTTGTGATGATTTACAAAAAAGAAAAATGAGCAAAATGGTATCTTTTTGTTTGTTTGCTTTTTGAGACAGTCACTTGGCCAGGCTGGAGTACAGTGGCGCCATCCTGGCTCACAGCAATCTCCACCTCCCGGGTTCAAGTGATTCTCCTGCCTCAGCCTCCTGAGTAGCTGGGATTTACAGGCGTGCACCACCATGCTCGGCTAATTTTTTTTTTTGCTATTTTTAGTAGAGGTGAGCTTATACCATATTGGCCAGGCTGGTCTCAAACTCCTGAGCTCAAGTGATCTGCCTGCCTCGGCCTCCCAGAGTGCTGAGACCACAGGCGAGAGCCACCATACCCAGCCCCCGAAAAACGTTTTTTAAACTGTTTTTTTTTTCTGTCTGCTGTTAACTCACCTTTTCAGTGAGTTCAGTGGCTACAGAGAAATGAAGTGAGGGCAGCTCTGGGAGGGGTGGGGCTGGCCTGGGCTCCGTGGGGTTCTGTTTAGAATCACCCCCAGCACCTACCCCGCCCGCCCACAGTGGGCCCCAATAGGCGGTCCCACCTGTCCCCTCACCATGCCACTTGGCACGGACTGTGTCTGTCCCCTCGGAAGCTGCATAATCGCACATCCCCAGCACCCGGCCCAGGGCCAGGCAGTTGGCTCAAGGAAGGGGAGGGAAGGGATTCACACCTCAGGGCCGGGCTAAGCCCCAGGAGACCCGGCGGGGCCCTAACCTCGAGTACCTGACAGGGTCGCCCCCAACCAGACCTGCTCCCCCAGCCCCGCAGAGGCGGCATGGGCCCTGCCTAGGCCTGGGTGTGACCAGCCGCCCTTCCTGCCCCTGTCACCGTGGCTGCCTGTCACCAAGACTGCCCTGTCACTAGAGCCGAGGAGCCAGGCCCGCCCGCCCGCTCTCCCAGCCCCGTGATTTGTCGTGCTGCCGTTGCTCGGAGCGAGACACTTGCTTGTAGCTTGTGAGTTGTGTGCAGGCAAATCTTTCATTTTTCCTGCATTACGCCGGCGTGTACTGTCACTTAATTTTTATGTATGCAATCCTTCCTGACAAATATGATCTGCTGCCTGGTAATTCGTCTGACGCTCATTCTGTTCCGCGCTCTAATTACGGCTCCTATTTCTGCCACCGCTGGGTACCGCACCTGTCAGCCCGACCATGGCACTGACTAATGCCCTTTCATGCCAGCCTCGTGTTAGCAAATACAGAGGCAGGAAGGGGGCCCAGGGAGGGAGGAGGTGGGAGGAGACCAGATTTGCATAAGCCCCGCTCTTGGGTCAGCAGCCTTAGGAGACGAGGTGGTTGCCAGGGCAACGTGGCTGCCACCACGGCATCCCCACGTAGTAGGTGCACATGAGACGTGGCGGATGCATAATTCATCCCCGTGCACAGGGCGTGAGGTGGCCCTGGCCCCCGTGTCCCTCCTGAGTCACCATGCGATGGTAATTAGTTCGATCTCTTGCCTGACCAAATGTGTGTGCGAGACTTAGCTGTCTGCAGAACCTCTTGCTGGAAGGGGTCTTTCCTGTGTCTTGGAGACACACCCAGGTCCTGGGCTTTGGCTCGGCACTGTCACCATCCTGAAGCCTAGTGGGTGCAGGCCTTGTTTCTGGGAGCCTGTCCTGCTAGCAGGGACTTGCTCAGCCCCATGCAGGCCTCAGCTGATTGGACATCTCCCGGGTGCTGGGCACACAGCCTGGAGCAAGGACAGGCCCCAGGAGGGCTCCTTCCACCCATCATGTGGCCTGGCTGTGCTCAGAGGGCTCGGGGAAGAGCCCGGCTTACGAGGGCGGCCTTCTCCCAAGTTCCAATTCCTTCTCATTAATATAATAAGTGCACCAGTCCAAGTCAATAAAATCACACTGTCGGATAAGACGCATCTCTGCCCATTCCTAATGATGCGATCCTAACCGGCTCTGACGGAGCGCCGCAGTCTTTTCTCTGCAGTGGGACAGAGAAAGGCTCGGAGCTGACTGACAGGGGACAGGAGGCAGCGGTTTTAACTCTTCTCTTTGACAGATTCCCTCAAATTTCCTGGTCTTTTCGAAGCTCTTCAACCAGATAGGTAAATAGTCCCAAACTGAACGAAACACTTGGGTTTTCACAAGGGAAGTCCGGTGTTTGAGGGGACAGGGAAAGACAAGGCTTCCTTCCAGCAATAGAGTCAGTGGCCCGGGTCCCTGAAGGGGGCTCCAACAGTATTTGGTGGGGCCCCCGGCCCTCATTTCCTGGAAGCAGCGTGGGTTCTGGAAAGAGAGGCCTGCTGCCATGTGAGCTCGGAACAATCTCTCGAGCGCCTGGATTTTAGATCCTTCCTCTGCTACACGGAAGGAGCCTCTGGATGCCTGGGGCTGTCAGGGGTATGAGGGGAGCGTCTCATACTCCCAAGCGGGGGTTCCCGATACATCTTCCCTTTGGAGCTAAAGGAAGAGCTCCCGAGGCCTGGCTGGGTGTCCCCACGGGCAGATGGGGATGAGAGTTTCAACACAACCCCCTCCCCGCCACCCGCACTGGCTCCATCAGCTGCTCGGAGCTGCTGGTCTCTAGGTTCGTACATTTCTCCTAATTGTGTGCGACGCCCAGAGAGTCTCACTGGAACCCGTGTGAACAGTGACACTTTCCACAGGCAAGGGCGACTTCCACAAAGTGCCTCTGCCCAGACAACGCTGCTCTCACACCCAGCTTGCCGCAAGCACTCGGGGTCTGGGGATGGGAGACATCCTGGCTTGAGCCATGGAGTGGCGTGGAAATGGGCAGTGTTCAGGGAGGCAGCCGGCAGCTCCTGGGGCCCGGCTCCCTCCTGGGGAAGTGGATGTTGATGGGGGCAGCATACAGTGGGTGGGCCTGGGACATCTTCTTCTGCAAACGCACCTCAAAAAGCCAGGAACTAGCCCTGAGAAAGCAGGGTCCTCCCCCACTCCATGGGCCTCTGGGAAGGGTTCCCACAGACGGCCCTGGTAAAACTCAGACAGCCCTGGAGTAATGCACAGGAGACTCTGTTCCTGTGTTCCACTGCGGGCAGGCGGGGCCTTCCTGGGTCCTATGTTCTCATTAAATGAAAAAGCCTCCCTCATCCAGCATTCCAGCTTTCACACTTGCTTCCATACCCAGTGTATGGATTCCGAAGCTTGCCGCTGCTTCACGGGTCCCCCAAACACACATCCGACCAAGCCTCTTCCCAAGTCCAGTCTTGTAGCACCCCCCGACCCCTAGGGTGGGGTTCAGCCCACTGAGCTCGGCCTTCAAGCCCCTGCCCACCTTTCTTGCTGCTCCTGCAAGGACCCTGGTCTCTGGCCAAGCCAAGCTCGGCTGCACACCGAGGCTCACCCACTCTTTCCTGGAACACTGCTCCCTCCTTCCCTGTCCCAACAGCACCTGGTCACCCCTTAGGGTCCAGCTACAATGTCACCTCCTCCCTGGCAGGCACCTGCTCCTACAGCTTCTAAACTGCCGGTTTAAAAGCCAAAAGCTAGGAACAGCACAAACGTCACCCCCCAGGAGGGATGGACCCAGGGTGCTGCCTGTGAACGGGACACCCACAGCAGGGGAGGATGCCTGCCCTGCAACAGACACATCTCCCACTCCAAGCAACCAGCTCAGTCAGCTTCTCCCGCAAGGCCCGGACGGGGATCAGAGGGTGCGGGAAGCCCCCCCAGCCAGGCTCCTCTGGCCACAGCGGCCTCCCTTCTGGGTCACTGTCCTGAAGAGATGAGAAAATCTGGGGCTTCAAGATGGCATCTTCCTGCACAAACTGACCAAAGGCACGTGGAGAGAACGCTTTCGTCTCCCTGCACGGTCTCTAGGACCCCTGTGGGCTGCTGGGCACACACAGGCCCCCCCTTACCTAGGGAGTGGGCTGCGGTGGTCTCAGAGCTGAAGAAGCGGCCCAGACCAAGGTCACCGAGCTTCACGACACCTGTGGCTGTGATGAACACGTTGGCAGGCTTGATGTCTGTGGGGCGAGGAGAAGGAAGTTGGTGTGGGGCAGGCGGCTTGGGGTAGGTGGGGCAGGGCGAGAGGAGGGGGAGCTCCAGGTGAGGTGAGGCCCAGCTCAGGTCCTATTCCCTGGCTCCGGCTGTGGAACCTCCAGAAATTGACCATTTCTGAGCCTCAGCGTCTTCACCTGTAAAATGGGTCTCCCTTCACCAACTTCACAGAGCTGCTGCGAGGGTTTAGAGGGCAGGGGTTTCTGTGCTCCTGTTACAGCTGTATCCTCCGTCCCTAGAACAGTACCTCACACATAGGAGGCCCTCAGGGAAGTCTGTGTAATGAAGTGTCAGTGGGATGCCCTGAGCTGTACCCCCCTGGTGAAGGCGGGGCCTTAAGCACAGCAGACACCGAAAGATACAGGTAGAGTGAAGGAACAAAGGTGTCCAGGAAGCAGCCTACCCAGAGGACTCTGCACCCTGCCAGGCACCCAGAAGCCTCCTTTTCACCACTTGGAATGACGTCAGCTGTGGAAACGCCCCTCTCTGGTGCCTCTCCTGCTCAGCACAGCCAAACCCCGCTGAGATGGCAAAGCCCCTACCGAAGTCCCCTCTGTGCAAGGCTTCCCTGACCTCCCTCCCGGGCTGCTGCTGGGAACTGTGCGTCACGCGGGGCCCCTGCCCCCTAGAGCTCATGTCACTCTCCACCTCGGGCAGGACCCTGACATGAGTGGGTGGTGGCTGGACAATCCCCAGCCTGGGGAAAACAGAGTGGTCCGACTTCCTCAAGGGGCCGCGTCTTCCTGGGGCTCCCGGGGCACCCGGCTCCGGGCGGCTGCTGGCGGGCGGCACGTACCTCGGTGCATCACCCGGCGTGAGTGCATGTGCTCCACGGCGCTGCACAGCTGCACGAAATACTTCCACACCGTCCTCTCCGGGATGAGCCGCTTCTGCTTCTTAAAGTACTGCAGTGGGGGAGACAGGCAGAGGGACAGACCTGGGTGAGCAGGCTTGGAGGTGGGTGGCGGCAGGGCGCTGCCTGCATCCTTTCCCCGGGGGGCAGCTGGTGCCTGGCACGGGGTGGGAGACTGAGCTACTGAGCAGAAGTAAGCCCAGAACCAAGAGCGCTGTGTCTGCGCCTCTACTTCTGCCTGAATGGCACTCCGTGGCCACCCTGCCCCCACCCTGCAAGCTCCGTGAGGGCCACACAGGCCTGGCGTGTCCAGATGGCTTTGCCGCACGGACCCCCAGATCAAATATGCTGAAAGTGGCCCTCAACAGCATTTTTCCAGAACGTTCTGGACACACCCCTGAAAGGGCGCTCCTTGCTGGACTGAAATGGGTGTGGACCCTCCCTGGTCCCTGGCCTGGCCCAGGAGGGTGGTACCCAGGATACACGTGGTGGTGAAATCACAGCTGCCCCCACCTCCTGGGAACCAGCAGACCTCAGTGCACCGAGATTCTTAACAAGCACAGCAAGAACCTTGAGGAAATGGGCTTGATTCGCTCAAATGGAACCCCGGTTCCAACAGGCATCCGTCTGCTTCACGGCCTGGGAAAACAGACTTAGCGGTCCAGGAAGAAGACAAACACAGAAAGCCCCCGGTGGCACTAAGTGAGCTCTAAAGTAACAGGAGGTCCTGGAGAGGGCAGGCCCAGAGCCTGTCACAGCCACCGTTCGGCTGGAGACGGGGACGGCTCCTGGGCGCCAGGCCCAGAGCAGCGCGGCGGGACTCCGGCCCCAGTTACCTGCATACCAGCTTCTGTTCAGGGGCTTTGTGCTTCCAAGCAACCACCTTCCCGGCGCTGTGGGCCCACTGGGAACTGACCCAGGACACACCGGTCTGGGAAGGGCTCGGGTGGAGGGAAGGACCCGGGCCGGCACTCTCAGAGCACCAGCAGGATGTGGCCACCGTGCTGGGCCTACGAGGGCGGGCTGGGCCCATCTTACAGATGGGGAAACGAAACTGAGGGCCACGCAGGAAAAGGCAGAATCACAGCTTAACCCCTGGTCTCCCACCGGAAAGCCCAAGCCCTTAGCTCACTTCTTTTTTTTTTTTTTTGAGATGAAGTCTCCCTCTGTCACCTAGGCTGGAGTGCAGTAGCGCAATCTCGGCTCACTGCAACTTCCACCTCCTGGGTTCAAGCAATTCTCTTGCCTCAGCCTCCCAAGTAGCTGGGACTGCAGGCATGTGCCACCACATCCGGCTAATTTTTTGTATTTTAGTAGAGACGGGGTTTCGACATGTTGGCCGGGCTGGTCTTGAACTCCTGACCTCAGGTGACCCGCCTGCCTCGGCCTCCCGAAGTGCTGGGATTACAGGAGTGAGCCACCGTGCCTGGCCCCCTTAGTCCACTTCTAGTAACACCAGTAACCATTGATATGGGAGACTGAGCTCAGAGAGGTTCAGGAACATGCCCAAGGTCAGCCAGCACCCAGCTGGGACCCAAGTCTCGGCGCTTCCCACAGAGGGACAGCTGTAGCTGGGAGCCCATGGTCTCGCTGTAAATCCCATCAAGGCTGTTCTGAGGCGCACTTCTGGGAGGGCCTCTCGGGTGAGCCATCCCAGGTCTCAGCAAAGACCCCACCCCTGGGCCACCTCCAGGCCTGTGGCGGGCCAGGCCGGGATGTTATTCACACTGATGTGAGTGAATCCTCATTACAGCATTTAAGCAGGATGCGTGTGGCCGAGAGTGGTGATTTTCTAAATGTCACGTCCTATAAGCACTGTCTGACATTTAGCGGCAAGGCGCAGAGTCTCTCGTGGATTCTGGGGCTGCGGCAGCTCCTAGCTTTACTCTTCCTCATAAATAACTCGAGCACCGTGGCTGTGATGGTGCAGCTTGGCCCCTGAGGCTGCAGGCTCTCAGGACACACGCCCTGCTACCTGGCAGCCTCTGAGGCCAGGGGGGTGACCATGGGGCGGCTCCTGTTCCTCTGGAAACCTAGAGGTGGCCTGAGAGCAGGCAGAACCAGGGGAACTTAGCTCCCATCAGGCCCCAGGCACTGTGCTGGGTATCTCACAAATGAGGAAACTGAGGCACAGGGACCTACCCAAGGCCATCCAGGGAATGTGTCTAACTTCGGTGGGTCTCTCCCCTGCCAGGCCCCCACTGCTGGGTGCTCCACCAAACCAGCTCTGCAGGTGAGGGCCCCTGAGCTGGGCAGGAGGGAACGGGAGCAGGCAGGGATGGGAAGGAGGAGGGGGGAACAGTGAGAGGGGCACCATGCCAGGTGAGGAGGTGAGGAGGTGGGATTTGAGGCTTGGGGGGCCAGGTGGCTGCTCAGAAACTCAGGCCACACCCATCTGGACTCAGTCCTGCTGGGTTCATGACTGACTTGAACCCTGAGCCAGTGTTGGCTCTGGGGAAGCGAGGAAGGGGAGGCTGGTTGGGGAGGGGACCCCACATCCCAGGCCTGGCATAGAGGAGGGGTGCTGGATAGAATGCCCCACGCCTCCTCTTCTCTCAGTTGAAGGAGACTGCACCCAGCCTGGGCTTCCTGCAGGGCTCCTCCAAGACGTTCCAGGGGACAGGGCGGAGACTGAGGCTCAGGGAAGAGACGTGCCAGCCCCAGCCCCCCATCTACCTGTCTGACTGCAGCCCCACTCCATGGCCTGAGAGGCTGCAGCGTCTGGGCTCCACTGGGGCTGAGAGGGTGAGGCGTCCTCTCCACAGGCTGCATTCCCACAGAGAGAGGCCTCTCCTTCACCTCCTGCTCCTCCTGTTCCCCCTCCACCTCTCCTTCCACCCGGCCTCTGGTCTGTCTTCTAGAACACAGAGCTGACCATGTTTGCTCCCCACCATGAATCTTAGAAGCTTTCTGACCTTATGGCGTGGCCCCGGATCCCAAGCCTGGAGCGAGAGGCCCCGCATGATCCAGCGGTCTTCATCTCAGCTCCCCTTCCCTCTCCTATCCCTGCTGAACTGTTCCTGCTTCTGGATAGCCCGCCTCCTCTAAAGGCTCAGCTCAGTGCCACCTCCTCCAGGAAGCCTTCCCTGACACCCACAGGCTCCGCACATGGCTTGTTCACACTGGCTCCTAACTACTCCTTCGAGGGTCTGTCTTCCCGTCAGAATCCAGGATCCCTGAGGGTAGCAGCCATGCTGGCAGCATCCCTAGTTCTTGGTATGAGGGCTGTCACACAGTGGGCGCACGATGCTTTCGTGTTCAGCAAGGGAACATGTGAAGGAGAAACAAGAAAAAGAAAAGCGGAGGCGGGGGAGAGGAAGAGCTGAGACATGATCGAGCACATCTGTTCCCACCAGGGATCTGTGTGCAGATTAACATCCCGGCAAAGCCATTAATATGTCAACGGAAACGTAAGAGCAGGTGATAACAGCTCAAGTAATGCCACTTCCCAGTGATGCCTGTATTCCTAGGAGCCGAATTTTAGCAAAGCACCAAGCAATTGCTCAATCCCCAGTGCCTGATGGGAAAGACAGAGAACCCACGTCTGCCCCTTTTCCAAGCGTGGCTGGGAGCAGGGTCGGGGCTTGAGTGGGGCCAGCCTTACCTGGGAGCAGGCAGGCTGTGTCCAGGGGAGAGAGGTGATGGGGCCACAGCAGCCCTGGGGACGCAGGTCCAAGCCAGCAGGGACATGAGGACTTCCACTGAGGAGCAGGGTGTAGGCGCTGAGGGCTTGGGCCTGGGGGCCTCCAGCCAGAGGCTGAGCTGCCTTGGGCAGGAGACTAGACCTCTCTGAGCTTTGCTCTCTGAGAACAGCATGGACTCGCGAAGGATGCCCAAGCGTACTGGGCTGTGTGGAGACTGGCAGGAGGTGCAACGCTTTTTTTTTTTTTTTTTTGAGACGGGGTCACGCTCTGTCACCAGGCTGGAGAGCAGTCACGCAATCTCAGCTCACTGCAACCTCTGCCTCCAGAGTTCAAGCAATTCTCCTGCCTCAGCCTCCCAAGTGGCTGGGACTACAGGTGCGCACCACCATGCCTGGCTAGTTTTTTGTATTTTTAGTACAGACGGGGTTTCACCGTGTTAGCCAGGACTGCCTTGATCTCCTGACCTTGTGATCCGCCCGCCTTGGCCTCCGAAGTGCTGGGATTACAGCAGGAGCCACCGTGCCTGGCCAGTGCTGCTCTTTCATTGAAGCTGCAGTGGTCCTGGACACCAGACTAATGGTGGACCCGGGCCTGTGCCCTGGGCGGTGGGATGAGTCAGGGGGAGAGGTATGTGCGGTGCAGAGCACAAGCCAGTCCTGGCGCTGAGCCTGCCCGTGTGACTCAGCTGGTCACTCAACCTCTTGAAGACCCCAGGCCTGGGCGTCAGCTGTGACATGGAAATGAAGTGTCCCCTCTAGGGCTGGGGAGGTCATCTTGGGACCATGTCCACCAAAGAGTCCCAGGCCAGGAAAAGCCTGGACCACAGGCATGGCTCTGTCTCCACAATGCTGGGTATCCTCAGGCAAGTCTCTGAACCTCTCTGGGCTCAGTTTTCCCTTTCTGTAAAATGAAGCAGTGGGATCTACAAGACATCTTCCCAAAAGCTGAAGTCTGACCAAATGGGGGGCTGGCCCTGCTCCTTCTGTGAGGCAGAAGAAGTGGCCCACGTGCCTGCGGATAGGCTGAGGCACTGAGGGTGGCCAGAGGGATTCCTTCTGCCCACGGCTGGCCCCCTCCCAGCCACCCATCCTGTCTTAGCGTCACCTTTGCCTTGCTTTTGCACATGGGCTCTGTTGAGCTGAGCTTCCCTGAGGCTGAAAGAGGCCTCCAGCAACGGCAGCCGGGGACAGACCCCGAGAGGCCCTCACCAGACCGCAGCTGAGGCCTGTGGGTGTTCATCGGGGGAGGGAGGGGGGCTCAGGGTCCCTAGGCAGCCGCTTCTGGCTGAGGCCAGAGCACCATGGGACTGGGCTGAAGACAGACTGCCCCCTTTGGCTCTGGATCTGTGCAGCCCCTAGCACCCTCGCCCTGCCAGGTGCTCACCTTGATCATCTGCGAGAGATCCCCTGCATCGGCCAACTCCAGCACGATGTTCAGCTCGTTGTCTTCAATAAACGAGTCCAAATACTTGATGATATTTGGGTGGTTCAGTTGCTGCATGAGAGACAGAGGGGAGGGTGCCGGTGAAGACGGGACAGATTCAGCACCTGCCTGCCACCAGCACCCTGCTGGCACCGGCACTGAGGCCCTGGCATTTGCTAGAAAACTGGGTGCCCAGGGAAAGGCCTGTGCTGGGGAGTCAGGGAGCCCTGTGTGACACTGGGAATGCCACTTTGTATCCCCAGGTGTCAGATTCCTCACCTGTAACACTGGCATCATGTTTTGAAGCATAGTTGTGAAGACAACATATGCCAATACTCTTGAAATGTGTAACACGGCACCTGCACAGAGCTACGTGAGACAAGGCAGGCACTTGTGGAAATGACCCTCCTCCCCGTCCTCCTCCCTGCCCAGACCCTGAGGACGGCATCGGGGCCACCTGTGCTCAGACACGGCCAGCCTGCAGGCGCTCCTCAGAAGGATCGTCTCCTCCCTTCGTCCTGCCCTTTCTTCCTCAATTCCTGACCCATCTCTTGTGAAATCATTTTTTTAAAAATATTTTTTTGTAGAGATAGGATCTCACAGGCTGAAACTGAACTATGTTGCCCAGGCTGAAATTGAACTCCTAGGCTCAAGCGATCCTCCCACGTCACCCTCCTGAGAAGCTGGGACTATGGCTGCACACGCCACCATGCCTGGCCCTCACGAAATCTTGAAAAAATCCCTGGAGGCGCAAGAACCGCCCGGCTGATCTGCGCAGTGCCAAGACCCTGCCTCTGTCCTTTGCACCACAGCCTGCGTGTTTCCTGAGGTGGAGCATGGAGCTCAACAGAACGGCGCCCCCCTGGCTGCAAGTCAGGCCCTGCCAGGCCAAGAGAAGCCCCTGGCATCTGTTTATCACAAAGGTGACTGTTTACACCAAAGCGACTCCAGGCTCTGGGGGAGCAGAGGGGACTGGAATATCCTGCCCTGGTGTGGGTGTGGTCAGCCTCGTCTCGGAACCTGCCGACAACCAGGGGCCGGGGTGGCGGGGTCACATTTTCCCAAAGGCCCAGAAGTGGCTGGGAGGAGGATGTACTGTGCCTGTCCATGGATTCTGAAATGAGGTGCGCCTGGGTGGACATTGCAGAGCCATGCAAGCCCCCATTCATTCATTCATTCATTCATTCCCCAAGACAGCCCCTCACGTGGGCCCCCCCGCCCCAATCAGGTCCCCGGAGGCCACAGCTGCCTCAGCCACCGGCCCCGGCTCCTCTCCACGTGTCCATCCTCTTTCCACGTTCCCCCAAAGACTGACCCCTCTCTGCTGTGGCACCCACTGCCTGTCCGAAAGGTCTGGCCCTGAGGTATGTGCGCTGGCCCTTGCCTGCCCCTCAGCCAGCAGAGCTGTGGCTCAGTGAACATCCAGACACCACGCCGAGAAACCAGGCACCCTGCACAGCTCAGGACCCGGGTGTGGCACATTCAATCCTGGTTCCCAGGGGTGGCTGGCAGGGACCCCTGTTGCCATCTTAGCAGCAGGCTCCCCTGTGGAAACACCTTGATCAGTAACAAATGCAGGTAATTTAAGTGGGGCGACTGGACTTCAGAAGGCGGCACACGAGGCAATCCCAAGCAAAAATAACCAACCTGGAGGCATCACAGTACTGGACTTCAAATTATACTACAAGGCTATGGTAACCAAAACAGCATGGTACTGGCACAAAAACAGACACATAGACCAATGAAACAGAACACAGAACACAGAAATAAAGCAGCACACCTACAACCACCTGTTCCTCAACAAAGTTGACAAAAATAAGCAATGGGGAAAGGACTCTCTACTCAATAAACTGGCTAGCTATATGCAGAAGAATGAAACGGAACCCCTACCTTTCATCATATGCAAAAATTAACTCAAGATTGAGTAAAGACTTAAATGTAAGACCTCAAACTATAAAAATCCCAGAAGAAACCTAGGAAATATCTTTCTCAACATTAGCCTTGACAAAGAATTTATGATCAAGTCCTTAAAAGCAATTCCAACAAAAACAAAAACTGACAAGTGGGACCTAATTAAATGAAAGAGCTTTTGCACAGCAAAAAAAATGATCAACGGAGTAAACAGACAATTGACAGAATGGGAGAAAACGTTCACAAACTATGCATCTGACAGAAGACTAATGTCCAGAATCTATAAGGAACTTAAATCAGTAACAACAACAAAAAAGACATTAAAAAGTGAGCAGAGGAGGCCAGGTATGGTGGCTCATGCTTGTAATCCCAGCACTTTGGGAGGCCAAGGCAGGTGGATCGCTTGAGGTCAGCAGTTCAAGACCAGCCTTGCCAACATGGTGAAATCCCGTCTCTACTAAAAATACAAAAATTAGCCAGGCATGGTGATGGGCGCCTGTAATCCCAGCTACTCGGGAGGCTGAGGCAGGAGAATCACTTGAACCTGGAAGGTGGAGGTTGCGGTGAGCTGAGATAGCGCTACTGTACTCCAGCCTGGGTGCCAGAGTGAGACTCTGTCTCTAAATAAATAAATAATAAAAAGACGAAAAAGTGGGCAGAGAACATGAACAGATAATTCTTCAAAAGAAGACATACAAGCAACTAACAGACAGAAAAAAAATGCCCAACACCACTAATCATCAAAGAAATGCAAATCAAAACCACAGCTGGCCAGGTGCAGGGGTTCATCCTGCCTGCAATAGCAGCGGTTTGGGTGACTGACGTGAGAAGACTGCTAGAGCTCAGGAGTTTGAGAACACCCTGGGCAACAAAGTGAGACCCTGTCATTAGAAAAAAAAAAAAAATCAGCTGGGCTTCGTGGTACAGACCTGCAGCCTCAGCTACTTTGGAGGTTAAAGTGAGAAGACGGCTTGATCCTGGGAGGTTGAGGCTGCAGTAAGCTGTGATCACACCACTGCACTCCAGCTCAGGTGACAGGGCGTGACCCAGTCTCAAAAAAAAAACAACCCACCATTACAATGAGTACAATGAGATGCCATCTCACACCAGTCCAAATGGCAATGATTAAAAAGTCAAAAGCTAGCAGACGTTAGTGAGGCTGCGAAGAAAAAGGAACACTTATGTGCTGTTGGTAGGAAGGTAAATTAGTTCAGACATTGCGGAACAAAATCTGGAAATTTCTCAAAGAACTAAAAATAGAAATACCATTTGACCCAGCAATCCCATTACCGGGCATATACCCAAAGGAATGTAAATTGTTCTACCAAAAAGACACACACACCTTTGCATTCATCACAGCGCTATTCACAATCGCAAAGCCATGGAATCAATTTAGGTGCCCAGAAACGGTGGACTGGATAAAGAAAATGTGGTACATATATACCACAGAATACTATGCAGCCACTAAAAAGAATTAAACGTCTTTTGCAGCAACATGGACGCAGCAGCAGGCCATTATCCAAAGAGAATTAACACAGAAACAAAGCTATATAAAGCTATACTGCATGTTCTCATTTCTGTAAGTGGGAGCTGAATCTTGGGTACACACGGACATAAAGCTGGGAACAGCAGACACTGGGCACTACACGTGGGTGGGGGGAGTGAGGTAGGGGCTAGAAAACCTCCTATTGCATATGATGCTCACTATCTGAGGGACGGAGTCAGGAGAAGCCCCGATCTCGGCATCACACCATACACTCTCGTAACAAACCTGCATGTGGACCCTCTGAATCTAAAAGAAAAAGGAAAATTTGAAAAAGAAGGTGGGCTGGACGTGGTGGCTCATTCCTGTCATCCCAGCACTTTGGGAGGCTGTGGCGGGCGGATCACCCGAGATCAGGAGTTCAAGACCAGCCTGGCCAACATGGTGAAACCCCATCTCCACAAAAATACAAAAGTTAGCCGGGTGTGGTGGTGCATAGCTGTTACTTCAGCTGCTCGGAGGCTGCAGTGAGCTGAGATCGCACCACTGCACTCCAGCCTGGGTGACAGAGTGAGATCCTGTATCCGAAAACAAGAAAAGGAAAAAGAAAAAAAAGAAAAAAAAGAAAATCCTCTTGCCCAGATTTTGTGTTGAGAAGGCTGTCTCACGCAAACACTGGCCATCACAGCACCGCCCTCAGCACACGTCACGCTCCAGACACGTTTTCCAGTTACCAGACAAGTGTCAAAGCAAGTGAACGGCAAGCTGAAAGAGCTTCCAGATCTCTAAGGCACGTCCTACAGATCGTGCAGGTTGCTACTAGGATAAACGGGAACACCCTGCTCCTTCACCCTCCTCTTGAACTTCACCTCGTTATGTCGCCAGGAAATCTCACACCCTCTCTGGAAGGACTCCTCAAAAACCGCCCAGGTCATCAGCAGTCCAGGCATGTCAGGTTCTCCAAGGGAGAAATGAGAGGGGTTGGGGAGGCAGTAAAGCCCCGTCAAGGAGGCGCTTGTTCCTGGGGAGGGGAGGAGAGAGGCTCCTCCCTTGTCTCCTTGCAGGTCTGAGGGCAGGAGGACGGGCTCCTTATACCCAGGTACGGTACAGAGGCACAGGCAGAAAAGGGGCTCCGGATGTCCATTGGGCTAAATCCCCAAAGCCCAGAGAGGGAAAGGGATCAGCCACGGGTCTCCAGCAAGCAGGAGCTGAGCTGAGTCTAGAACCTGGTCCAGTGACCCCAGACCCTGGTCCACACAGAGTCCACTTCTCAGCCTGTGGCCTCTTGGTGGGCCCAGGTGGGTCCGGAAGGGGACACACTCAGGCCAGAAACGGAAGATGCTGCAGAGATGCACGTGGTTGTGCTTTGTCTGGCTGTGGTGGTGGCGAAAGGGAAGGGAGGGAGAGCTGAGGGTAAGGGTCCCTGTCCTTTGGATCTCTGCCATCAGGGGCTCTGCTCCCAAGCTCCAGGCCCTCCCGGATGTAACAAAGAATGTCTGTCTGTCTATGATCTGTCTTCCCCACCAGGCTGCATCCTGGTGTCCAGCATTCAGTGGTGTTCAGAAATTGCACGGAATGAACGAACACGCCTGCTTTCCAACAGGACCTGCCCTCTCGTCCCACGCTTGGCAGCTGCTGACCCCACCGGCCCCTGCATTTGGGAGGTTTTGGGTTTGGGTTCTCGGCATGAATAAGCGATGTCACCCGGTCGCCCCTCTGAGAACCACATTTCCTTTTGTTTTGTAGGAAGCACCTCATGCCCTGGCACATCCTGTTGACTTCCCATGGGCTACCCGGGAATTGGGACTGGTGTTCTGGAATGTGGCTGGCGTTGGCGGGCAAAGGTGGTGACCATGACGACCGGGCTGCCTTGGGCAGGCTGCCAGCGCACCACACACCTGCGCTGCCCCGAGCTCATGAGACGCGTTTCCTCACTGACTCCTCCGGAGCCCCCGTTGTCATCACGCCCACTTTACAGATGAGGAAACTGAGGTCCTGAGAGGCCCACAGCTGGCCCGCAGCCACACAGCTAGTGAGCAAGGGATGTGTCCTCCGAAACCCAGACTTGATGCCCTCAGCTGCACGACAGCCCTGAGGAACGGGCAGAATCCCCTCTCCAGCCAGGTGGGCCGACGCCAGGCTAGGCTACTGCCAGACAGGGGGCTGCAGTGGCACATCTGTGTGACCAGCGAGCAGACCAGGCTGTGCTCAGCATGCTCCCTGTGGGGCTCCTTCCCTTGGGGAGAAGGGCACGTGAGGTAAGGGGGGCAGTGGGTGACCAGGACAACTACTCTTCAGGCCTGGGGAAGTGGCAGCAAGCTGATCATGACCTAAACATTTAAGCAATATTCTCGAGGAGTATTTTTTGACATATAATAGTTACAAATAAGGATGCCTCCTGCCTCCAGCCTTAACCCCATCACCCACTGTGACTGGGAGCCATCAGAACAGGCACTTACAACTCACACCCAGCCATGTCCCCCCGCCCCGCCTGCAGCCCCTTCAGTGGCTCCTCTTTTGTTCTGAGTGTGTATCTGGCCCTGCTGCCACCTCCACCCTTCCGTCTCCCCCACCTCCCATCATCCACACCGCTGGAGTGCCTTGAAGCAGGTTCTGGGACGGTGCCCCGGCCTCTGTGGGGCTTGCCCAAGAAGCGGGTTTCCCCTGGGCTCCCAGCCCACCAGTTAATCTGCCTCACCCTGGAAGGTCACCATCTGCTTCCCACCTGCTTCCCCACCAGCCTCGAAGTCTCCAAGGGCACCGCCAAGGCCTCAGAGCGCAGGGCAGGGTGTGGCAGGATAAACCGCTCATCTGAAATTCTGCAGCTGTGGTTTTGGCGGGTGTCCCTGCCACGAGCAGCCCTACTTTGCTGGAAACTGCCAAGCAAACCCTGTATGTTTCACAGGGAGCCAGGCACAGTGGCTTCCACCCATAATCACAGCACTTTGGGAGGCTGAGATGAGAGGACTGCTTGAGGCCTCAGGAGTTCGAGACCAGCCTGGGCAATAGAATGAGACCTTATCTCTACAAAAAATTAAAAAATTTGGCTGGGCATGGTGGCTCATGCCTGTAATCTCAGCACTTTGGGAGACTGAGGTGGGTGGATCACCTGAGGTCAGGAGTTCAAGATCAGCCTAGCCAACATGGTGAAACCCCATCCCTACTAAATATACAAAAATGAGCCAGGTGTGATGGCAGGCACCTGTAATCCCAGCTATTCAGGAGGCTGAGGCAGAAGAACTCTGCTTGAACCCAGGAGGTGGAGGCTGCAGTGAACCGAGATTGTGCCACTGCACTCCAGCCTGGGCGACAAGAGCAAAATTCCATCTCAAATAAATAAAAATAGAAATTAAAAAATAAAAATGAGCCAGCTGTGGTGGCGTGCGCCTGTGGTCCCAGCTACTTGGAGACTGAAGCGGGGGACTGCTTGAGCCTAGGAGTTTGAGGAGTTAGAGGCTGTGACCATGCCACCGCACTCTGGTCCACGCAGCAGACTTTGCCTCTTAAAAAAACAGAGAAACAAAGAAAAAGGCTGAGAGGAGAGATGGAAAGAAGATGAGAAAGAGAAAAAGAGAGAGACAGACATGGAGACAGAGGCGGAGCCAGATAACCTGCAGTCCGGACACGGCTCCCACTGTCAACGCCTCCCCTGGCCAAGCCTGGTTCACAGGCCACAGCAAGGCAGGGTCGGGGGTGCCCTGGCGGGAAGGACTTCTGTGCCAGGTACCGCCATGTACAAACAGGAGGGGCGAGCAGCCATGAGAGAAGTCTGCAGGCAGCAACCCTAAGCGCTGAGCAGCGCAATGAGGCAGGGGCCGCTCCTGCCTGGCCATGTGAAAACTCACCAGCTGCTGACCCCAGAAAGCCACCGTCTGTGAACTCAGCAAGGGCTGCGGGTCCCTGGCACCCAGGACTGTGATGGGCATGGTGAGGGCCCCTCAACCTCCTGGAAGAGGCGAGGCCCAGCGCTCACCTTCAGGAGGCCAATCTCCTTGACACAGTCCTGCCTCGCCTTGGCGTCCATCATCTCGAAGATCTTGGGTGGGAGGAAAAGGGAAACAGAGTGGTTAAAATCTGTGTCCAGTGTCCGATTTTGCAGTCCTGGCTCTCCCAACTCCTCGCTGAGGGACACCGTGACCCCCCTGCCCCTCCAGCCCCCATAGGGCTTGCTCACTCTGGGTCTCCCAGCACTGTCCCACCACAAACCCATCGTGGCACTAAAGAACCAAGACAGAGAGCCCAGGCGAGCCCCTGCTCAGAAGATCAAGAGAGACGGCTGGGCGCGGTGGCTCACACCTTAATCCCAGCACTTTGGGAGGCTGAGGTAGGCAGAACACATTAGGTCAGGAGTTTGAGACCAGCCTGGCCAACATGGTGAAACCCCCATCTCTACTAAAAATACAAAAATTAGCTGGGTAGGTGGTACATGCCTGTAGTCCCAGCTACTCAGGAGGCTGAGGCAGGAGAATCGCTTGAACCGGGGAGGCAGGGTTGCAGTGAGCCGATCAGGCCATTGCATGCCAGCCTGGGTGATAGAGTGAGACTCTGTCTCAAAAAAAAAAAAAGAAAGATCAAGAGAGAAACTGGTCCTTTTTTCCAGCGCCCTCAGGCCGCCCGTGGTGCTCTCTCCCCTTCTCCCAGCCCCGTCCTCTTCCCCGGGCCTCCTCCACCCAGGCTCTCAACCTCATTCTTTAAGGACTAGCGAGCAAATCCAGGGGCTTGGGAAGCTTTGCTGGAGGATTTAAAGCCATTTCCTCCGGCAAAGCCGTGCTGAGACGGGCCCGGCGGCTCTTGTGGACACGCCTCCTGTCCTGACTTTGCCGCTTCACCTACTGCCTCCATTTAGGAGGGACACCGAGCGCAGAAGCCCAGAACTGTGCAGCGCGTGCAGGCGCAAGGATGATGCGTGGACGCGGTCTGAGCCTCAGCTCCCCGACTCACGCTGGGGCCCTGGTGGGTTATGAGGTCTCTGCACTGTTGTCCTCATCTGTGAGATGAGAAGACAATCCCCACCCACGGGACTGTTGTCAGGTTCTATGTGCTCCTTGCATGACCCAGTACACAGCAGGCGCTCAATGCATGCTCGTTTCTTTCCCTTTGTGGTTTGCAGTGAGCTTTCCTCAACAGGCGTCCGCCGATTCTCTCTGTAACCCAGCAAGTTGGGTGCTGTTTCCCTCATTCACAGAGGAGGGGAGGGGAGGGAAGGGATTGGCCCGGCCCTGGCCCCGCCATCCAGACGCAGAGGTGGCCACCCGTGATGCAGGTTTGAACCCGCGCGCGGTCAGCTCACCTGCACCTTCTTCAGAGCTACCGTCTTCCTGTCCAGCAGGCAGGTGGCCTTGTACACCTCGCTGAACTGTCCTCGGCCTATCTTCTTTTCGATCTGGAAGTCCGCCAGTGAGCAGCGAAAAGACAGGGTGTTGGGGTGTCTCTGGAGGCGGGGACAGAGGGCCTCTGTGAGCAGCCAGGCTGGAGCAGAGGCCTGGGGACCCCTGGAGCCCCAGCACCCCAACAGCACCCTCTAAGGTGAAGGAGGGACTCTGCTGCCAACTCTACTTTCGGAGCCTCCCAGGCTCCCCCTGGGGGCTCTCTGTTCAGGGTCCCTGGTTCCCCTCAAGGACCCCAGTGCAGGTGAAAACCCGAGGCTGTTCTTCATGCTCCCCACGGCCCCCATCACCACCTTCCTTATCTGACCGCTTGTTTGCTGCCTCTGAGTCCCATCTCACGGTCTAGCGTTGTGGGACCAGGGGCCTTGCCCATCTCATCCACTCCTGAATCCTTAATGCCCAAGTCGGGGTCCAGCAAGCCGAGTGCAGCTCAGGTCTCCCTGGCCTGTGGCCACCATGCAAAATGCCCCAAATCATTGTAAGAAATGGCAAGTTCCCGTCCTGGGGCGCCCATTCCCCACCTCAGACAAGAAAACCCAGGTTAACATCTGTAGCCTTGGCAGGTGCGGTGGCTCACGCCTGTAATCCCAACACTTTGGGAGGCTGACGTGGGTGGATCACTTGAGGTCAGGAGTTCAAGACCAGCCTGACCAACATGGCAAAACCCTGTCTCCACTAAAAATATAAACATTAGGTGGGCGTGGTGGCACATGCCTATAATTCCAGCTACTTAGGCGGCTGAGGCACGAGAATCACTTGAAGCCAGGAGGTGGAGGTTGCAGTGAGCAGAGATCATGCCACTGCACTCCAGCCTGGGTGATGGAGTGAGACTTTGTCCCCCCCACCACAAAAAATGTGTAGCCTTACACTCTGAGCCCATCCTTTAGATAAACTGCCCTTTTTAGGGCGCCGTGAAGAAACCAGAGCTCCACGACGACTCTGCAGGGCCCAGCGCTGGGAGACGTGATCCTGCACTAGAACCTGCCCAGGGAAGACGCCTCCAGGTGAGGCCACAGTGGCCAGCAGGCCCATGGGGCAGCTGCGGAGTGGGGGTGCGTTTCCTGGGCAGGTCTGAGCTGGCTCCATCCACTTCTCCTCTGCCCTTCTCCCAGGGTGCCAGAGGGGAACCTGGTTATGTGGGGATCCCCACTCTGGGACCCTGAATCATGACTAAATCAGTAACAGGAAGTCACTAGGAAAGCAGGGGGAAAGTGAAGTGAAGACGTCTCTTCCAGGCTGTGACACCTGTGAGTGAGCTCTCGGGAAAAGGCAGGAGGGGGTGCCAACACCGGGCCAGGGAAGGAGGAGACAGACAGGGGAAAGGATGCCACATCCCTGGGCTGTCCGTGGCGAGGTGAGCCCCGCTATGTCTTCATTTGCCCGATGAATAAACTGATGCCCAGAGGGGCCAGCCGTGCCCACTCCATGCCTGGCTCCATGCCACCACCCCCACTGAAGCAGGAACAAGCAGTTGAACTTTCCAGCATGAAATGGGTCTTTGCTGAGGGTCACACTGAGCTGAGGGTTGCTGAGGGTTGCACAGGGGCGTCTTTAGAGTCAGCACACTGGCAGAAGGCATCAAGGCCAAACCGAGAACTATAGGACTGGCCCTTCTGCCAGCTGCTTCCCCACTGGGAACCACACCAGGAACCGTGACCGAACCACTGGGTCTCAGCCTGGGGCGGATGCGGAGTGGGGGCGTTTCCTGGGCAGGTCTGAGCTGGCTGAATCCACTTCTCCTCTGCCCTTCCCCAGGGTGGAACCTGGTTATGTGGGGATCCCTACTCTGGGACCCTAAATCATGACTTAATGAGTAATAGAAAGTCACTGGAAAAGCAGACAGGAAAGTCAAGTGAAAATTGTCTTCCAGGCCAGGCATGGTGGCTCACGCCTGTAATCCCAGCACTTTGGGAGGCCGAGGCGGGCAAATCACTTGTGGTCAGGAGTTTGAGACCAGCCTGGCCAGCGAATTTTTGTATTTTTACAAAAATTAGCTGGGTGTGGTGGTGCACGCCTATAAACCCCATCTACTCAGGAGGCTGAGGCAGGAGAATTCCTTGAACCTGGGAGACGGAGGTTGCAGTTGGCCGGATGGTGCCACTGCGCTCCAGACTGGGCGACAGAGTGAGACTCCATCTCAAAGAACATGTCTCTTCTAGATTTGGCTGAGGGAGCTCGACAGAACAGCTCCTGTAGGAGCGGGTGATGGGAGTCCAAACCTCACAGCACACAGCAAGGAGAGGGCTGGGCCAGCCTTGGCTTTGAAGCCTTGAGGCCTAATCACCCCCACCGTGGGTCCTACGTGGGGACCTGATCTGGAGGGCTGCTGGAGGAAGATGATGATTTTATCCACCCCATGCCACTGTCTGTCGGGCAAACACTTTGTGCCTGTACACGGAGCGCCCACCTAAGAAGGGCAAGCATCCCGGAGTGCCTACTGCATGCTGGGCTCTGTGCAGACTCTGCCCACGCGCCAGCTCTCTGGGTCCTCAGAACAACCCTGTGAGTCGGCCCAAGTGCTGTCCCCATTTCAGGAATAGGAGGCTTGGAGGAGTAGCAGTGACCTGTTCTGATCAGGCAGCCAAGGACGGCAGAGCTGGGGTGTGACCCCAGGACTGGGGACGATGGTGCCCAAGCCCTTGCTCCATATCGGGTGGGCTCTCAGCTCAGACCCCTCCTCTGCTTTTCGCTCAAGATTCCCTGACCAGCCAGGCCTGCCGCTTCCTGCTCCAGCCTCCATTCTTTCAGTCACCTGAGCCCCGCCCATGCCCCGCCCATGTCCCACCACTGGCCTCTTCAGAAGGGGGCCCTGTCTACTCCCCTCCGTGTCCCCTGCACTGAGGCTCTGACCTTCCCAGAGCAACCACCGGAAGCATGTTTGTGGAATGACCCATGGAACGTGCTCGACACGGCCTGGCACACAGTGGTACTCTGTGACAGTGGGACTCAGCCGCTGTCACCTCTAGGAATGCGGCTGTAATCACATACCCTGAGAAACAGCCAGGGTGGCTTTCTGAGTGCTTAGAGGAATCGCCCGCACTCACAAAAATAACCACCAGGTGTTGTGCATCGGACGCCTACTATGGGCCAGTTTCGAGCTGCTTAGATAGCTCTGTGACTCCGAACTCCTAACAGCTTTGTGAAGCAAGGGTTATGCATACCATCTCGCACACCAGGACACAGGCCGGAACTCCTGGTCGGATGGAGAGCCAGCGGCACAGCTGGTGACGAGGGTGGGCTCCCTCCCCTCTTGGGCCTGTTTCCTCCACGCACAGCGGAGAGTTTGGAGGAAGCGATCCCTGAGGGTCTTCGCCCTGGGAAAACCAGGCTTCTCACTGTGACTAGCGGGAGTGTGGCTGAGGTTCCCAACACTGCCCATCCTGGGAGGCTAGTGTGCAGCTTCACAGTGGGGCGGAAGCTCCCGGTAGATGTGGGTGGAGGTGGCTAGGGCTCCATCTGCTTACATGCATATGGATGACCCAGATTTGCATTTCCTGTCAAAGCCCATCCGACCCAATTAGAGGACAGCTCCTCTGGCAGGGCAGCTTCCTGGGCAGCAGCGTGGGTGCTGGGGGCATGGTCCAGTAGGCTCTGGGGCACCACTGCACTCCCAGGGGACCCTGTTCTCAGGTGTGGGGCACCTCGGGACACCAGGCTCCTGGGGCAGCTGCTCGGGCCAGCAAAGTCCTGGCCCTGGTGCACCTGGGAGTTCTTGGCGGAAGGGAGTGGGTGAACTGTGTTCTTGGCCTCGAAGGCCTGGCTGCTCTCTGTCACCACCTCTGACACCTCCCTCCCCTCCTGGGTCAGCTCCCAGCAAGTTCCACGTTTGCCCCGGCAGCCAAGTGACCCTGGGAGGTCGTCCACACACAGGGACGGTAACACTGGCCCAGGATTTCTCTGGGAGACGATGGTGGTGATAAGCATCTGTGTGGCTCTAAACTGCAAGACGGGCAGGGGGCTGGCCCCAGAACAGTGTGTCTGAGGGTGGCCCCAAATGTGGTCACTGCTGACTAATGACCGACCACCCTGATGGCCTATCAGAAAACCGGCTTTTCTTTTTTTTTTTTTTTTTTTCCTTTTCTTTTTTTGAGATGGAGTTTTGCTCTTGTCACCAGGCTGTGGTGCAATCTCAGCTCACTGCAATCTCTGCCTCCCAGGCTCAGGTAATTCTCCTGCCTCAGCCTCCTGAGTAGCTGGGATTACAGGCATGCGCCACCACGTCCAGCTAATTTTTTTGTATTTTTAGTAGAGGCGGGGTTTCACCACGTTGGCCAGGCTGGTCTTGAACTCCCAACCTCAGGTGATCCACCCACCTCGGCTTCCCAAAGTGTTGATTACAGGCGTGAGCTACGGTGCCCAGCCCAGAAAACTGGTTTCTAGTGCTCACTGTCCCTGCTCTGTGTGAAGCCCTGTTCTGGCTCCTGGGGAAAGTAACAACCCCCAACCCCACCCTAGGGCACAGGTTGGCAGAGGTGTGACCACTGCTCTGGCTCTGATATTGAGACTCCAAAGCTGGGGCCTGGAAGCTAGGGTTCCAACCTCAACTCCACCACTTCCCGGCTGTGGCCTCGGGCGAGCCTTCTGGGTCTCAGTTTCCTCTTCCATACAGTTGAGATCATAACAGTACCCCCTTCAGGGGGCTGCTGGGGGTTAACTGGATAAGCAAATGCAAGCCCCTGGAAGAGGGCCTGGCACTAGGTGCTGGGAGATGTTACTCTCCATCTGTTGTGGTGATGGTCACTGGGCTGCCATCTGTCGAATAGGCCTAGTGATGGCACCTGCTTCCCAGGGGGCTGGGATGGCCTGAGCAGTGGACAAGCCTGGGGGTTCTCGGCCGTTGATATCATCACCCTGCCGTTCCCACGGCGGTCTGCTGACCTGGGGGCTGCAGGGAGGCAGTGGGGCTGACATGCACCTGCCGGCAGGTAAGAGACACAACCTTGCGACTTCGGCATCCAGGACCGTTTGCCAAGGGACCATGCTAGGCGAGAGCCACTCTCAGCCTCCCTTCCAGGGCTGCACTGTGGGGCAACACCATAGGAGG